GAGACAGTTCAACTGAAGCCCCATTTGGGAGTGCAAAAGCCGCAACAAAACTGTTTACATCAAGATGACGAATGAGCCCCCCCCAACATTCAACGGGGAAGCACAAAAAACGCTGTCAGCGCTTCCGAGAGTCCCGTGGCGCTCGAGGGGGCGCGCTGGTAGCGGCCCTGGGCTCCCAACAACAGAACTCTTTCAATTCGTACATACTCGCATCCTCTCTTTCGTTGCATATGTTTACATACTGTTACATACTCTATTGGTACGCTCTGGCAATCGGAACACTGTGTAGGGCCGCACTGCTAGTGATCTAGTCCCTTTACACCTTCCAACAAGCCGAAACTCTCGACTTCAGCAATACTGAAAAAGTCTAACAGGTCGGGAGGTATCTCCATTGGGGTGACATGGGCCGCACTTTAAGACTGCTGATGACGACTTCAAGAAGCGTGCTTTGGTTTCCGTTGGGTGTCTGTCTATGTGGGACACACACACACTGCGCATTCTGTTTGAGTCGAACGACATCCCCAACAAACCTGATGGGGGTGGCCTATGGCGGCCTGCATCTGGTTCAATCAACCCAAACACCGAAACCCGAACGCACAATAAGTCACTCCAGGGCAGCCGTGGAGTGGGTCTCAACAAAAGCCTCCGAGGGAGCTCGCTTGTGAGACTGAGTTCCACACCCGGCCAAAGCTCTTTCAACCTCTCCTGGGTCATCATGCCCATCCAAACGCTATCTACAGTGTGCGACGTAAGAAAACACCTGCTGCCAAGACTCGCTCGAACTCAGAGTCAGGTTCATCGTCATCGTCATCTTCCCTGACGGGGGGTCTTGCTTGATCGACCAGCGCTTGGAGCGGGTCGATGCCACCACCTCGCAACAAGTTCCACATAGTTCCACAGCAACCTTCGCAAGCAAACAAAAACAACGCTGTGCTTCATCAGGCGGCCTAGTCGGATTCCTTGGTCCCGGCGTTGCCGCGCTGGCGCTCCAAATTTCAGCTCTTTGCTTTCTCCCAGCAGCTCCCCAATACTTTCCTTCCAGAACATCAAACGGGGCAATTTGGAACCGACGATGTGTTTGAACCCCAGGACTAAACTGGGACAGCTGGCTGTGTGATTGCCTGCAAGTCACACTTACTCCTCAGTATTGCCAAACTCTCGTACATGCTTGCATGACGCCCATCACGTCGACCAGCATCGGAAACAAAATCAAAAAAACTCTCCCACAGCCTCTCTTCTCGCGCTGCCACCGCCAATTCTACCAGCATCACCGATTCTGCCAGCATCATCGTCATCATCAGATAATCCTTGAATTTGGGGATGTCAACTTTCGAAAGAACGTGCATGATTGCAAACTTGCTATAAGGAAGCAGCCGAGGTCGATATCCAGAGCTCCACGATGACTTCCAGCCCGCTTGTCTGAGCGCAACGCCATGGCTGTTATTTCATATCTTGCTGACGCGACATCTTCTTGCCACAATGAATACTGATAATTCACAGTGGCCCTACCTCTGACCACATGCTTGGATTGGGCTTATCTTTGCGGTCCAGACTACACATGTATATAAGGCTAACGAGATCGAATTCAGGTTTAGACGCATATTCTCTTGGGTATTTATGCGCGCAAAGCCTCATGCCTATCACGCAAGTTGGGTTTAGGAGTACGACTGTGGACTACAATTCCTAAACCTGTGCTTAGAAAAACGTCCGCCTCCCTGAAAATCTCAAGCCGAGCTTGTTCGGACACAAGCATGTCATGCACAAAGACGGATGCATGAACTGAATCCAGAAAAGACTTGGATGGGAAGAGACATGCAAATGCAACTGAAACGAGAAACATGCCATACTCAATGCTCATTCAGACTGCTTCGCTGGGAACGAAGCAGTCGCCTAAATGCACAACCTGCATTTTCCAACATCGAAGATAAAGCACCAACTCGTTCCTTTGTCTCCAGAACCCCATCTCAACCGAACAGGAGAAAACCACACAACCCAAACTATCATCACACTCTGAAAAATTCAAAATATTTTGTTCACGTGAACAAAACATACCAGCATAGCAAAACACATGGCAACTGCAATTTGGCAAGAACAACCGTAGCCAACTGCACATCATCAAAAAAGGCATTTCACAAGCCACGTTCCCCGACTTCTTGTGTTTGGCAACCAGATGCCGTTTTTGTGCGCAAGTCACACTGTTGTGACGGTCACCACCGACTTTCTGTCAATCAGATTCTGAGAGGCAAGAACTCTATTGCCAGGACACCAAGTGGTACATATCTCAGCGGCGAAGTTTGCGAGGTTTTTTGCACCAGAGCTTGACACTCGGTTGTATCCTTGGCAAGAAGAGAAACAAGCCTGCGCAACAAAGTTGCGTTCCTTCTCCTAGAAACTGTGGAGTTGGTCTTACAAAGCGCCACGAGCGGCTCAAGTGCAGGAGGGTTGTGTAGCAGTTTTCGGATACGACGGGTTAGGACATCTTGCAAGACGTGCAGCTGCATCTTTTCTGTTGTCTTATAGCTGCAACCGGATTGGCGCACCCTCTTTCCGACAAGGAATTCATACACAGGATGCTGTGCCGCACTCCGTTTACGACGACTGCTTTCTCCTTGATTTACGTCAGATGCTTATTATGTTCTTTCTTGCAGTGGGATATTGCGGCTGGCGCCTTGCAAGCAGTACAAATGGCAATTTCTGCAGGAGAGCTTTTATATATACGGTTCCACATTGTTTGGACCACCCCAAAGAACCCAAAAGAAAGGGTTTTGGGTTTTGGGTAGGGGTTCAGGTTAAACCCTTCTGAGAACCTGCACCGAATCCTGCAGCATTGGCTTTCAATCGGTGCGGTACGGTGCACGCCCCTGCCGCGACGGTGTTCATCACTGTCCCGTTTCCAACAGGGTTCAGGCCCCCCGCCCCCCCTCCCCCCCTCCCCTCCACCTCCCCCCTTTCTAGGGGTTCAGGGTTTGGGGTGAAGGGTTTAGGGTTTATGCATGGGAAGAGCTCTTGCGATATTTCCACAAACTCTTCATAGTCATTATAGAGTTGAAATTCTGCTTGCTTTGGTATTAGATTGTGTTATTATCTCTCTTTTCATAGTGTCTGCCTTCGGCTTGGCCACGTAGGAACCAGCTGCCACTGCTCAGGCCTTTTACAACCACGAAATGATAATATTAGAACACGATGCAATAGTACGCGACGAAAATTCTATATAAGTAAACCTTCATTTTCTTAATATTTGTATTTTCAGAATATTAAAAGTAAAGCGTATCCTTCAGAGATGTGTCGTATGTCCTTCTTCTTCGTGTTCGTAAATTCTGGTGAGGGTCTAGAAATTTATCGTATGCTCCCTCTCTTCGTATTTGCTGGGGGAAGATCCCTGGAGGTTAGACTTAAACATCTTGGAATCATAATGTGCTGGAAGGGGGGTTTACGGAACCCTAAGCGCTAAACCCTAAACCCTATCCACCTTTTCAGGGGTTTAAGTTGAGGGTTCAGCATCTCAAGTCCATGCAGGATGAGAAAAAAAAACTGGCACCGCGTGAAAAAAAAAAAACCTGAGACACGTTGAAACAACCCTACACCCCAAACCCTAAACCCCTAAAATGCATGCAGGCTTCGGGCAGGATTGGAAACCCCAACCAAGTCCTCAAGCTAAGAGTGCTCAGGCTTGAGGGTTTAGGATTCAAGAGATTTACATTGTGAGCGGGCAGCGAGGAGGACGGGCTGATGGGTGGCAGGGAACGGCCGGTGCGGTTGATCAAATGCTTTGCAAAGCGGAGCGAAAGAGATGCACAGATGCGTTGGAAGACTAGGAGCTCAACTGCACGGCCTGAAGTAAAACCAAAAACCCTAAAGGGTCCATGTACCCATATAGGAGATAGTTGGGCCTAGTATATACTATACGGACACATGGACCCTGAGGGAAAGCTTTCCAAGTGCGCTCGCGATTAGGCCTAACGTCTCGGCCAGCCCTGAGAAGCCTCTCCCCTTTCCAGACCCTTGGGAGGATCCGAAAAGTAGATCCCTTTAAGGGTTCCTAAGAATGACCCAATAGTAGTATAGGGCATTCTAGGGTTCAGGGTTTTGGGTTTTGGGTTTAAGGCCTTCTGTTTTAGATCCTCCCAGGGGTCTGGGTTTTTTCTTGAGCCGCGGCTTCGTCTCGCGGAGCTTCAACTGAGACATGCAGGGCCGCCCGTTCTGGTGACATGCCTGCTAGCGCAGACACAAGCAAGGCGCTGAAAGCCTACATCTGCTCTGCATTCGGTTGGGCGCCGAGGCGCCCTTCTTGCTTCGCAGCTCTCAAACCCGGCGTGCTTACCATACCCATCCCTGGCATCTAAGGCCCTTGTTTTGAGGGAGAGGGAGGATCAGGACAGGCACCAAACATCTGCATGCTATCAACAGCCCTCCTTGCCTTCATGGTCCATGGCGGGTTTAGGGTTTAGGGTTTCGCTCCGCTCAGCAGCTTTGTATCAAGGAGCTCGTAGCCGGCCAAGCTTCGCAGCAAGCTTCGCACTCTTCTACGGCGTACTTCACATATTGCTCCCGACTTCCCCTTCACGTTATTCGGAAACTCGGAACTTTCAATCGTACCTCGACGAAGCAGCATTTTGGGGCATCTGAAGGACATGAAGAAAACTGCACCCCCCTGTATGTCGGCCCGACAATGCGCCAAAAATGTTAAAAAACACAAAACCCAGAAATTGAGCACCCCTCGAGGGATTCTTTATTCATCCAATACCCGCGTACGTCGGTCGTCTAGCTCGAGCGCGCCGAATCCCAAGCGGGATATTGAGGTCCTTAAGTAAAAGCATTTTGTCATGGAGCTAAACTGCCAAGCTCTCGTCCCAGGATGGATGTTGAAGGTCTCGTCTTGCCTTTAATGCCCTAAGAAGAACTGGGCAGAAGAGAGGTTTAGGGTTTAGGGTTTAGGGTTGTGGTCTCCAGGCTCCCACAGCAATAAGCTTTAACACGCCGTCCCTGCACGGATCCTTGGCTCAGTTAAGACCTGGCGTGCACGACAAGCGACACAAGGTGTGGGCTGTGAGAAGGTCATGCACGGAAGCCACAGCCGAATCTGCAAAGCTACAAACGAAGACCTGTGGCGTGACCTGGATGCATTTCACAACACTTTGGCATTTCTCCAACTGCAGTCGACAATACTGCGCTTTTCCCGAGCAAGATCGGAGACTTTTGAAGCGCCGGACGGTCCCATAAAACTCCAACCTCGACGCTTTGTGGCTCTGCTGGAGTTGTCTGCGCGATGAAGCCAGGCCCAGATGGATGAACGCTTCTGCGCAATGGAGCTTGCTTGGTTTTCTCCAGGCATCGCAAGGCTTCAAGGGGGGTTCCTCTGTGCTTTGGGAGCAGTGCACTGAGATCGCTCTTGCGTTCGTGCCAGGAGGATTTCTTACGACCCTCACTGTCTGCGAGTCTTCGAGTGTCCTCGTCTCTGGCGCCGCTTGATCCTTTTGTTGCACCGTAAACAGTGCAGATTGCAGCCAAATCGAAAACATTTTCCCTGGTGGTTCAGTAGGCATCGATGCTTGCTTTGACCACAGGACAGGGTAGTGTGCAGTGTGTAGCAGCCTCTGCGCTGCTGGTACTCTTCTGCCGAACGCCCTCTTGGAGGTCCGTAAAATGTCGTGTATGCGGCGGCTGCCGGGCAATCAATCATTGGACATCTGACAGGCCAGTGTGGCGCATGCCAGAATCTTGCATTTAACGTTGCCGCCAATACCCATTCCTCAATGCATGGCATAGACGAGTTCGCAGTCTCCGCCGCCTTAATATGCAAGTCTCAATCCCGATTTGCGCGCTCTGTCGAAGCATGGGGGACAACCGCTCGAGCTGAGTAGTGCTTAAATGGCCTGCTGTGCGACAGCACTAGGCTGACTTTGAGGCTGACTCCGCCCCTTTGACCCATGAGCGAAAGGCACAGGCCCGACCGCACTTACACGTCGAGCTATGCGAGCTACGTGCCACTCAAATCACTCGAGGTGCAAAGAGTACCTCTTATGCACTCTGCCTCACCTCAAGGTGGGAGCCGAGATGTAAAGGCACAAGACTGATGCTCTGCAATCAGGCGCCGACGCTGCAATGAAGGCTCCCAGCCCAATCCGAAGTCTTCCCAGTCTGCAAAATCAGCAACACCCTGTAACACGCTGCAAATTGTGCAAACCCTGCTTTGGGCGCTCTTGGCTTTCGCATCAATCAGAAAGCAACCGCTCCAGAGGCTGCAGAGGCCAAGGCACACTGAGCCCACTGAGCCCTTTTGAGTCTCGGGCGCCTGATGGTCTTGCCATGTCTTGCCTGTTTTGGTGCCGCCTGCCTTCTGCTTCTGCGCCCACTCAGCCCTGCCCTTTACGGTGTGCAAGGCCCACGTAAGCTATGTCTTCAAAACCAAGGCCGCGGTCACCCGGCAGTCCACCTGGTCTTCAATCCATTGAAGGGGAGGGGGGGAGGGCGCACGTGTTCCATCCAAGCGGAGCCTCACACTTTGAGCCTCTCGGAACAGGTGGCCTTGCCCCGTGGTCCAAGCTTGCTCATCGGCCGTGGCAGCCTTGCCTGGCAGGCAATCCTCTTGCAGTTGCGACTTCCCCGCAGCACAGGGAAGCCCTTCTTCCCGGCGGTGACATGCAAGCTGGAACTCAGACGCCTAGATTTTGCCGATGCTTACGGGCACCTTATGGTGGCTGCAATTGAGCAGTTGTGACAACGCGCGCGAGGCCGCCAAGGCTGCAGGCAAAGGCATCAAATCTTACAGAAATGGGGTTACGCGGCTACGCTTTACACTTTGCCTGGCCTTGCTGTCAAAGTTGACCCTGCACCCTTCTCTTGCCGTCTTCGAGAACTGCAACCTGGGTTGCTGAGTTTCCTTCGAACCACCATGATGTTTTTAACTTGAGTCTTCGTCTGAACGATCCGCGCGGGCTTCCGAAGCGACAACTCGGCTAGCACGAGTAAAGTCCTCACGGAAAATGGGAGCTCTGCATCAGCTTCCACCATGCCACAGCTTCCGGCGGCACATCTGCAAGACCTACAGTGCCGCTGCAACGACCCTAAGCCGTAAACATCCGCAAACCTTCAGCCTCAAGTTCCAGGAATTTAATGTCCAGAATCCCAAATCTGAGTTCCCGCACATGCCCGCACACAAGATCGAACCATCGAACGCAACATCGGCCGTAACCCGGAGATCTAGAAGGAAATAGACCCTAGCTGAAGCCGGGAGAGCTCCGAAAACCGTGCGGCAAACCTTGAAGAAGCACTGCTCTTCGCTTGTTTGAAGAGTGTCCTTCGGACCACGATGATGATCTGAACTCGAGGGGGAAACAACCCGCAGCCGGCACCCCTGCTTGGGTTTGCCACAGGGTCTTCATAGGTTTTAGGGTTTAGGGTTCTATAGTAGTTTCTATAGGGTTTAAGGTTTAGGGCAGGGTCTTCACAGTTGAATAGGCCGTATCGTAATCCCAGAGAGATTGCCAGGAAGATGGCAAAGGAACAACGGCCCATCCCGGTGGATAGAGCCCAGTAAGACTTCAACCATCGCAGGCTGTGGGATCGGCACCATGACATGCAACTCCTCTTTGGATCATGGCTTGAAGTTTCTTTGCATCTCTCTTGTGTGTGGAATCCACTCAAAGCCTAAACCCTAACCCTAAACCCATGGCCCTTAAAGGCCAGGTGATCCACAGCGCATCCCCGAAGAGGTGCAAATAAAATTAAAGGGCAAATTATTAGTGTGAATGTAGCGTGAATACATGAACTGCGTTAATTCAATTCACTTCATTCACGTAATAATTTAATGGGAGATTCTGTGAGGTTATTTAGTTCTCTTCACTTTAACAATATTGTGTGCGCTTTTCTCATTTAATTCGTGCACAAGTTTACAATTAAATTACAAGCGCAAACAAGATTATGAAAGTAAATAGCTGGTTTTGTTTCGTTCATGCAATTCACGCGCAAACTCGTTCATTTATTCACTTCGTTTACTTGTAATTGCATTCGCTTCACGGTATTAAAGGAGTGAAGGAAAAGAATGCAACACGGGCTAGTTATCTTCATGAACTGGACCTCAATGATCTGTGGTTCACCTGTCATGTAGCTCTTCACGAAGTAACTGAACGGTCGGTCAATGATGGGGAGAACGAGCCATTAGTATTAGATGACCGGTTAAAAGAGGTAAAAGGTCTGGAAGTTAGACGGGCCGTTCATTCGTTCACTAAAAGCAACACAATATTATATTCGTGCGTTATTCATTTCATTCACGCCTTACAATATAATATTGGGGCTTTGTTCACTATATTCTCTCATCTCACTACGTTCAATCGCTCAGTGAATTCATGCACTCACTGCGTTCGTTTATAATTCACTTCACTCACTCTCTTCGTACTTCTATCCCAGGTCAATCATAAGGTTACAGACAGAGGTTAATGATTCCAGGGTCTAGAGATCATTAGTACTGAGTGATAGAGGTTGGGGTCCCGAGGGTGGGTTCCGAGGTGGCTGGTGGTGAAAATGGGATCCAAAGCCCCAAAAAATCAAAAGCAGGAGGATGGAAAGTCTGCAACCCATCGCTATCTGCAGACTGCTGAAGCAAGACGAAACTGCTCCCGAGGCCTTGAAGCAGGACGTGCATGCCGATGACATTCTTGGTAGCTTTGTGAGTTTAGGGTCTTATCGTTTAGATGGGTTTAGGGTTTAGTGGATCGTGGCCAATCCGCAGTCCGAGAATGGCAACTGCAGTGGTGGGGAAGTACCTTCTGCTGGTTGAAATGCCCCTGCTGCGACTTGATGCTTTCTCTGGGACTGCAGCGGCAACAGTAACTAGTTAGAGTCTTTCTGAGATCTGAGGTCTAAATAACGATGAACTGTTTCTGGAAGTCGTGGCTCGAACTGGATTGCCGATTAGAACAAATTCATGCACCAAACTTCCCCCGAGTGCCCAGTCCTGTTCCCATTGGCGGGGAGGTCATCCATGGCACAACGAGGAAAGTGCGCCGAGCGTGGGCATGGCACAGACCAACGCATCAAGCAAAGAACGTCTGGAGTGGGAAATTGAGACTTGAACCCGAAACCCGAAAAACACAGCAGTGAGACTCAAGCGGAAACTAGGGAGGACTAGCGGCTGGAGCGTTGGGGGGGGGGGAGGGGGCAAAGTGGGAATGCCTCTCAAAAACATTCAAAGACCTTTTCGCTTAAGATGCGTCGTGTTCACCGGAGCAGGTTGAACTCCGCCAGCACACGTGCCGCACATGCATCCCACATGGCCTTTCCGAACTGGCAAGATGCTGGCACTATGGCCATCCTGGTGGCGCTGGTGGCGCTGGCCCCAAGCTTTTTCTGGCACTTCGGAAAGATAAGCTGACTGGCACCAAAGGCCGCCAGGAGGCCTGAAAGGGCAACTAAACCATGGTTTGACATGTTTTTACGCCTTCTAGGACCCTAAGGACCGGACACGCAGATTGCTCCACAGCTTTCTTTGAAGATGCGCCCGGCCTCCCCTGACCCGCGGAGGCGACTGGTAGACGGAAGCACAGACAAGTCTACGCCATTGCGGGCGCGTGGCCACATCCTCATAAGGGTCCACACATAAGGAAGCACGCAACCCGTGCACAGCTACCAAAGCGCTTTGTCGGCAGAGAACCAACCGTTTAGCGGTGGATGGAAACATACACCGAGGTCTGCAATCAAGAAAAACCTGTCGAATGCCCTCCGGCACCTGCCAATAGTAGAGCTGCAACTTTCGCCCCTAGAATCGAGACCAGAGCCCTGTGGCGAGGGCCAGGGCAAGACCGCCGGCCCCTAAATAAGGCTCCCGCCCATCTTCCAAGACCTGGAGCATGAGTGCCACGATGACCTTCGAAAACCTTTCCAAGAACCAGAACCGGCTCTTGGGATGATGGCGGGCGCCATTGGTGCCAATTTTTCCTCTCAAGCTTCTCCGCTCCATTTTCGATCTACAGCCCGTGTAAAGCTCTACGGCCAGCCGTGTAGAGTGATTGAGATAACGGTCAGGCGCCTCGTGGAAAAAGCGACAAGGCAGTTCCTCCCGCATGCGCACTGTTGAGCCTTCGGGCCTTCGGACTCGCGGGGAAGAGCCGTTTTTTCAGGCCCTCAAGGACGGCCTCTCAAGCCACCTCAAAAAAAGCCACGCCCCCCCTGGGCTTCAGCTTGACATCTTGGCAGCGGGGCTCTCGCAGCGTGTGACCACAATGCTTCCAGGATCCGACAGACAGGTTGGACATACGGCATACGGGCCTGTAAGTGCCAATCAAAAGTGAGCTGTAGGGCCGGAGGGACCGATGAAGCTCCAGGACACTGGGAAAGTTGGCACGAGAGCGAGCTGATAAGACAACAGAGAAAGGCATGCGCTTTGTCTTCACAGCGACAGGCTTTATGAAAGTCACCAGCCTGTACAGACCCATGTGAGGAACAACGTTGCAACAGTCAGCCCAACAGCAAGAAGCACAAGCCCAACCGTTCAGTGTCCGGACAAGCCTATTTTGGGGGGAAGGTCTTGCGAATCTCTGCAAGGGTT